AATTGACTCCCAGCTCACCGTCCGTTGGATTTCTAAGGCTGTAAATTGCATGGAAGAATGTTCTTTCTTCTGAGGAGCTGCTGCTGGGTTTGGGTTAGCAGCAAACCTTCCTGCAGACTACCCAGTGATCCCTGTCCAGCCGCTAAGAGGAGGCCACAGAAGTGTCATGGGCATTGAGTGATGGATCCATGAATCAGGGCCCAAGTTGCTGGCTTAAGGTAAACCTTCACGTCCCACCATATTGCACTGATGAGTTGTACACATATGATACTGTCCAGCAAAAAAAGTAATTACAGCTAACCTTACAAACACTTAGGATCTGTCAGTCATATTGCTAAACCCTTTACATCACAAACAAAACATAGAAAAATTACTGAATGGAACGTACAGTTGCTCTGTAAACTTCCAATAATTTGATTATTTAAAAAAATTTAAAAAGAAACTTTTTTCCCCCCAGAATGGTATCATTAATCTTACCAATCCTTCTAGGACACTCATTTCTGCTCTGCTCTGGGCTATGGTCACACAGAGTCATGCTACTCCACATCTTGAAACTATACAGGAGGAGCACATGCAAATAGAGCCTTTTCTTCTACTGAAAAAAAGCAGCCCAGGCCCAACCCTGAAGTTCTGGGAGAGGAACCTCAGAACTCAGAATCTCTGGTGTCCTTAGTCAAGAATGAGGGGTACAACACAGACAAATCGCAATGTATCTTCTTAACTGGATTTTCCTTGCTGCTACTATAAAAGGTAATTTTTTAGAGAGCAAGTGTATCTAAGTAGAATGACTGAAATAACGCACATGTGTAATTATTTTCCTGATCTGAATGTCACTGTGATTGCAGGTGTCCAGTGTGAGGTGAAACTAGTGGAGTCTGGGGGGTCTCTGAGACTCTCCTGTGCAGCCTCTGTGTTCCCCTTGAGTAGCTATAACATGAACTTGTTTCGCCAAGCTCCAGGAAAGGGCCTGCAGTGGGTATCACATATTACTGCTGATGGTAACAAATACTACGCAGGCTCCATGAAGGAGATTCACCATCTCCAGAGATAATACCAAGAACTTGCTGTATCTACAGATGAACAATCTGAGAACTGAGGACACAGCCATGTATTACTGTGCAAGGAAGTCGGTGTGAACTCAGAGAGAAAGCTCTCTGTGAGAGCCAAGAACACAGGATGCAGATCCAGTATAAGGTGCAGATGTAGGTTGAAGGTGGTTAGGGTTGTGACCTGGGCAGTTCCAATCTAACTATTCTCCCAGGAAATATTCACATCTCTCCTCCTCTCTCCACCTCTCTCCCCTCCTCTATCTTTTTTTTCTCCTTTCTTTCCCCCTTTCTCCTCCCTCCCTTGTCCTCTCCTCCCTCTCCCCTTTTATCCCATCCTCAATCTTTCCGTTTTACATGACGTAGCACTAGGGATTTTACAACTAATGTCAGATGGACCTTGACTAAAAAGAGAGAGTACAGTAGAAATGTCTATCTATGTTTCATTGACTATTCAAAGGCATTTGACTGTGGATCATAACAACCTGTGGATGACTCTGAGAAAAATGGGAATCCTAGAACACTTGATTGTACTTACGTGAAACCTATACTTGGACCAAGAGTCAATCATTAGACCAGAGCAAGGAAACACTGCATGGTTCAAAATAGGGAATAGGTGTGTATCAAGGATGTGTCCTCTCTCCATATCTTTTCAATCTATATGCAGAATAGATTATCCGGGAGATTGGGCTCTATGAGAAGAAGTGTGGCTTCAGGATTGGAGGAGGAATCATCAACAATATACATTATGCAGAAGACACACTGCTGCTTGCTCAAACTGAGGAGGAGCTGAAGCGCTTGCTCCAGAAGGACAAGGACTACAACCTTCAGTATGGATTGAAGATCATCATCAAGGAAACAAAGATTCTCCCCC